GAGAAACAGCACAGAACACCTCTCTTAACACACAGTATCGTCATACCTTGGCACTAAAAAAAATCCATTTGCAAAGATAACTTCATTTTCAAGGCCTTTAGTCTCACGCTGTTAATGTTCAGCATGACAGATACATTGTATTAACTCTCACCACATAAACATTGAATAATGCCGTTATTTCAGTCCACTTCCTCTGACATCAAACAGCTCTGTCTTCCTTCACCAAAGTCATGACAATGCATTGGCAATTACATTCTCTTATCTTGTCACATATAAGTTTCAAATTGAATGGTTGTTAGAATAAATATCATCTAAATATTCTACTATTTTTTTGCTTAAATTTTTTCAAAAGCATTAAGTAGTTATGATCAGTATTGTCTCAGATACATTACTGGCAACACAAATGCTGAAATATTGCAAAGCTGATACCAAACTCAAGGTCTCTTTCTCAATGCTGGAAAAATGCTTTTGATGAACATGCCACTTTCAGAAAAAATACTCAATAGGTCTTTCTATACTCTCCTTGTCTTTTTGCAAACACTACAGCACTGACACCCACTTCAATCACATCAATAACTACCTTGAACGGCTTTGCCGAATTGGGTCTTGCTAACACCAGGGTCAACACAGCTTTCAGGCTGCCAAATGCCTTCTGATATTCATCCGTCCATTGGAATTTCCTGCACTTCTTCAGCAGGTCAATCAGTGGAGCAATCACATTGCTAAAATTTGGTACAAATTTCCAGGTTTCTCCAGTTTCTTGTTCTTGGTGTGTGTGTAGGTGGTGTAGTTTTGTTGCCTTGTCTGCTTGGCAGTCTCATAACTGTCCCGCTGTATCTTAAGCGCAAGCGGCAAATATTGAATCAGTCTCGATTTCAAGGTATGGCACTTGCTGTAGAGCTCATAAACAGATGACTGAGGAGTTTGCGAGGTGCGACAGCAAAGTCTCTCAGCGTAATCAGTGCTGTAGGTTGACTTGAGTGTGTTCGTGATCTGTAGTCTTAGTCCTTTTGGGATGTTTTGTGCTTTCTGGCATTTCGGTAGAAACTTGATGTCTACGTCGATATGCGCAATCTTCTTGGAGATCCTCTCCACTTTGAGCCAGCAGTTGGTGGTGTTGATGGTAGCCACAATGTGGAGATGCCGGTGTTGAACTGGGGTGGACAAGGTCAGAAATCACATGACACCAGTTTATAGTCCAACAGGTTTATTTAAAAACACAAGCTTTTGGACACTCATTCCTTCTTCACATGGTAGTGACAGAGGTGGCATCAGACACACAATTTATAAGTAAAAGATCAAAGGGTCACACAACTGATGACGATGTATTAAACAAACCTGAGATGCGATTAAAACTTTAATCAGTTAGAAGGTTTTAATCGATTAATATGTATATGTAAATCCCCAAATTTCTTTCAAGTCAATGCCCTGAGAGAACTAAAGATTTTATTAGTGTAAAGAAGAGGTGACCTTCAAACTGAAAAAAAATTTAACACCATTTTAGGTAAACTTAATACGTCCGCATCAGTCATGTGACCCTTTTTGATCTTTCACTCGTAAACTCTGTGTCTGATGTCACCTCTTTCACTAACACTGAATTGTTCTCAACTGAATCGTGGGAATTGAAAGATTGAATAGTATGAATGCGTGGTTGAGGTGCGGTTCAATTTCGTAACACAATAGGCGTCAGTTGAAGATAACACAGTGTGGAGCTGGAGGAACACAACAGGTCAGGCAGCATCAGAGGAGACGGAAAACTGACATTTCGGATCGGGACCTTTCTTCATAAACTCAGTTAAAGGTGTACACAGGATAATTATTAATCGGAGACAGGGAAAGGTGAAAAGATTAGCTTTTGAAAGTCTTGTAGAAAGAATATGACAATGGTCAGGTGTCACAGGAAGTGGATTTTGACCACTGGGACTGCACTGGTGGGACTTCTATTTCTACTT